AAATCACTGATGTGTAGCCATTGATAAACATCAGTGATTTGCATGCGCTAATAATCGTTCCAGATTTATACTGTACAAGTTAATCTTTATGCTTCGATCATGCGTTTCCGTACGGCAGGTAATCTTGTAGAAATTGATTAACGTTAGTTATTTGCATGCTCTAAGATTCGTACCTGATGTATACTTTCTGTGTCAGTAGGGAATATTTACGCTCAACAGTTCTATTTTTTTTTTTTTTTGCGACAATGGCCATTTGTTTCCTAAAAATTTTTCAGCCTGGTAAAATTTTTGAACTATAAAATCGGTATAAAAAGTTATAATTTTCGATGAATGTTCGACGAAATTATCGGATCATGAGAGAACTCCAGACAACCTTTGTCTCTTTAATGTGTAAATAATTGTTTTAAATCGAACCGTTTAGTCAATTAGCGGGATGATTCTGTTCAAGTTTGCATCGCTGTTTTGAAAAAGCGCTTATGAATGTTCAAAATTATAGCCTTTTAAGAGTACCATTCGACCAAAACTAATGTACGAGTTACTTTATTTTAAAGTGAGCATTTAGTGGGATGCTTCTGTTTAATTTTGCATCGCTGCTTGAAAAGGTGCTGTCATTTCACTGCGGTCATCGCTGCACTAAAAAAAGCCGTCATTCATGCATGAGCAGAATGAGGACTCATGCATGCATGCCGCCTGCATTCATCCAGGCGTTCGTAAGAGCCGCTAATGGCTGAGATCGATTTTCGAGGGAAAATTTTACGCGTCCCTCTACGCCAAACCTTCCGCTTGATCACCGGCTCTGATTAAAGGCATAATCTGAGTACGCAAATGCGTAATCTATGTGTATAGTTCGTGCGGTGATTACACACGAACAGACGCATGTGTTTAGGAGGATGATTAATTGATTATACTTGAAGATACGCATGTGTTCGTGTAATGGTTAGGCATGTGTCGTGCAGAAAATGAACTAATTTCGTTCGTATGCTCTAACAGTCGAAAGGAGCTAAGAATTATCAATTTATTATTAGTATGATAGTGAACACTTGTGTTATATCATATATTTGAATATATTTCAAGTAAGACATTAGTTCGTACAATGAGAATTCAAACAGCACGTCTGCCATTGCGTTAGTGAAATGTGAATGTATGATACCGTCGCGTTTCGTAGACTGCCCACATCGATTGCAATTTTCCATTGTTACGCGTTTCGTGTCAACGGTGTCTTATTGTGAACTATTATGTTCCTTTCAAATCTTCAGTGACGTTCACTCTGCTCGTTGATAACTACTTTATGATTCTCATCAAATTCATTCTGATTGATGTTAAATTTCCCTGCATTTGATCGTTATCTCATTAAAATCTGCAGGGAGCCTTAGAGTATTGAGCGCTGTAGTGTATTATACTTGACCTTGTCGTGCACAACCGATTATATCAAGAAATTGCACTATGATGATAAGAAAGTTACATGTTACCTAAAGCCTGTAATTCACTGTACTATCAGAGCCGTGCGTAAAAAGCGGACAATTTGTGTCCATTTCCGTTTAGGTGATTAAATTCCTGGCAAGAATGTGCTATATATGCTATAAATCTGCTACCGTTGCGCGTTGAAAGAATAAACAGCATCATTAAATGGATAATTGTTTTATTAAATGAATAATTGCTTCATTGAATGAATAATTGCTTCATTAAATGAATAAATGGCCTTGCAAAAGCACCAGTTAATGACTAAATTAGAGCTTTATTCAGATGATCAAGTTTGAAACTCTGCCAAGCCGTTTATGATGGCTTGCATATAAACCCACGGCATGAGACCCACCCGAATAACTTGACTCATGACTGCTCGGTCAGCGGTCGAATATTTGACATGGATGTCACGGAGCTTATGATGGATGAGGGTGCCGCCTTGCATGTGTAAATAGAGAACATCTCACTCTTTCGTTCCAGTGCTCGACACTCTATGAACTCGGCGACAAATTAGAGGCCCTCTTTTATTGACCGCATTCTCATACTACCTCGAATTGACTTCTTTAGAAGCGGTGTTATGAATTGCCGAGTAGTGTTAAAGATTGCCATGCGTTGATATTGATTGTCGAACAGCGATTGGAATTGTGAAGCAGTACTTTGAATTGCCTGGCAGTGTATACATTTACTCTTGTAGTGTCTGGTAGTGCCTATTCGTTATAGGAATTGTCTGGTAATGTTTAAAGTTATTCGGTAGTATCTGGAACTGCCCAGTCGTGCTAGGAATTAAGTGGTATGTAGCGCCCAGATTTGCTTGGCCGTTTTAAAAAATAGATCGTAGTGTTTGAAATTGCATGATCTCATTTAGAATTACACGATTGTTCTGTTTGTTCAGTCTTCACTTCTCTGCTGTTATTGCGAAGATCTGCTGTTATTTAAACGGGAAATTGCGAGTCTTCATCTGTACGGTGAGAATGTGTTTTATTGTAACCAACTTCAAATTAATCGCGGCGTAATAATTCATGTGTGAATGTACATGTAAACGAATAGTTAGATTGTAAAAAAATATACTGCCACTTGTTTGATCCAGATGTTGTTAAATTAAACGTCGAAGTCGTACGTGAAACGTATTTCTGAGCAAAAATTAAACATATGTCACTTATCAATTCCCCATCAAATTTTTCGGAATCCTAAATCCTAATTCCTCTTTGAGATAAAATAGCCTAGAGAGGCATTACCCAGGTTCTGAAGGCTCTGAAGGTACCCGGGATTTCTTAGGCTCACATACGATTTCACCGTCGATCATTTCTTCATGCTTTCTTCGTGTCGCTAATCCAAAGAAATGCATTCAATTCACACCTCTGGAACGCTACACTTCTCTCACTTCTTCCATTGAACCTGGCAATTTTTTCTTAAACCTTACCCTCCTATTGACTGGGCATTTCGTGTGGATTTTTTCTAGCTCTCAATAGGCCGTAGGAGAATTTTTTTAGGACCCTAATGCAGTGTTGTGGTATTCTTTGAAACTGGCTGCATTTTTGTGCGTGATTCATCATCGAGGCTGCGGTTTGGTAACTTTATTTTAAGCGTGCATTGTGTAGGTCTGTGCGTCGAGTGCTACCTATTGTACAGGGCACAATTTTGACAGATTTTCAGCTGCCTTCAAAAGTTCGGTTTGATGAAGCTGTGCACGCCTTCCCGCTCCTCTGGAATTTCCAGCCCCGGAATCGTTTACTGCCGAGCTGTTGAGTTTGTAATGAACTTGCGTTGTTTCTTTACAAACGAACATGCGAGTCACGAATGGTTAGGAGTTCAGTTTACTTTCACCAACCTTGCATGCTAGCTTGGAGATGAATTTTGTTTCTTTTAGCTTCTTTTAATTTCTTATCTTCCGAGCTGGGAATAAATAACATTTTATTTACCTAATGACCCTGCTGGCTAGAAATAAAAATGCATTTTTCAAGTAATGACACATCCAGCCAGAGCATGGTATAAAATTCCGTTTCATTTAACTATCGAACCAATGATCAATTCGATGGTGATTCCTTAATTTATTAAGGGCAAATAATTCAGTCAATCCGACGTCTGAAATTTTTTCCAGTAATAGGTTGTACATATATCGTGAATTAATCAGATTTTACGCATGTTTGTAAACGTGATTTGATCGTTATCCATGCAAGTAAAGTATAACTCAGCGAATGTGAGTCTGTCGGAAACAAATTGAACAGAACGATTTGGATAGTTAGGCATCAAAATTTCCTAATAGAAAATTTTCTACGACAGCTAAGAGAAAATATTTATGCGGGTGACTAACGCATTCTGTGATTCAAATCGAGCATTATCAACATTAAACGTGTTTAAAACATGTTCGGTTTTACGCAAAGTTTTTTTTTTTAAATAATGAATACTAATGTCTCTGATATTCCCCTATGTAGAAATGTAGTGAAGTGTACATTATAGCGCCACAATTACGCGTTCATTTCGTTTATCGTTCTTTAAAAATTATTCAAATTTTGACTACGTCCATCCATGTAGACCTTCAAATACTATGTCACGGTGCTAATTAGAGGTACATACTCATTTAAAATAGTTAAACGATATATTGTTGATAAATAATGATGATTGCAGCTCATGTTGTTTCATAATCATAAGTTAATTTAGAAAATAGACAGCAGCTGGCACTAATGAAAGATTAAATAGAGTCGTATACGCATTAAGTATGAAACATTTTAGGTTTTTTTAGCTTATATATAAGTGCTACGCTTTGCAGATCACCGTGTTAGAGTACGCGTATCGATCATTTATTGAATAAACTAAAAGTTTAATGTTAATCAATATCTAATGGCACTCACTGCAATTCACGTATTGCATCAAATGTAAGCTTAATGTAACTAATTTCCATGTTAATCAATGCAGTTCATGGCGTCAGTGGATGTTGTACTGGACACTTATCCGCTTGTTGTACCTAATGAAATGAATAAAATGAAAATGAGTTGTCTGCGCAACTAATATTTATGGGTTATAATCTTTGCAGCTATAATCTTTGCCATAATCGTGATCATCGAGTGTATCGTGAATACTTATTGAATCATGTGGATACCTACACCACTTATTGAATCATAAGCAATGTTAATGCAACGAATATGCGTGTTACGCATTTCAGTTCATTGTTATCTTCGCGTGTATCCTGAATACGCATGAATCAAATGAGATGTTAATGTTACTGATGTAAGTTGTACGCATTTCAGTTCACGGCTTGCGTGGACGCGTCTAATTTATTGAACCAAATGAAATATTCCTGTAACTAATACTACTGGCATTTAGCACGTTACATTTTAACTTTTTAAGTTACACACACATTTTTTGTACGCATTTCAGCTCACGGCTTGGGTGGACGCCGTTATATTCGTGTTCAGTCATGCAGACGGCTTAGGTGGAAGCGTCTAGTTTATTAAACCAAATGAAATATTCCTGTAACTAATATTATTGGCATTTAAAACGATACATTTTAAATTACACATAATTTTGTGTACGCATTTCAGTTCACGGCCTGGGTGGACGCGGTTATATTCGTGTTCAGTCTGGAGAGCGAGGCTTCATTCAACGCCATCTACAGCTACTACGCCAAGATGGCGCACTACCGCTCTACTACCGACGTCCCTCTCATCCTGGTCGGCACTCAGGGTGAGTAGCCTTAATTCTCATACTAGTACCAGAATAAATCATAATTTTTCTTATAGTTATTTCTGATTCGTAATTCAACTCACCTGATCACTCTCATCCTGGTCGGCACGCAGGGTGAGTAGCCTTAATTCTCATACTAGTAGCAGAATAAATCATAATTTTTCTTATAGTTATTTCTGATTCGTAATTCAACTCACCTGATCACTCTCATCCAGGTCGGCACGCAGGGTGAGTAGACTTAATTCTCATACTAGTACCAGAATAAATCATAATTTTTCTTATAGTTATTTCTGATTCGTAATTCAACTCGCCTGATCACTCTCATCCTGGTCGGCACTCAGGGTGAGTAGCCTTAATTCTCATACTAGTAGCAGAATAAATCATAATTTTTCTTATAGTTATTTCTGATTCTTTATTCAACTTGCTTGATCATTTTTAGCGCATTTTCTCATTTATGGAAAAAATACACTATTGTGCTCTCCATGTCCGTCCGCCCGTCCGTCTGTCCGTCCGTGACCTCAAGTTTTCGTCGACGAGAAAATGCGCTCTCTTCACTCACTGCAGTGAGTACTGAGTTATATTTTTTTGCAGTTATTCACCTACTAATTTTATTTTATTATTGCTGAAACTAATGAAATTACCGTGTGCTTACGGAATTTGGCACTTTCTGTGAATAATGTTTCACTTAGAAAAAATATTATTTGTGTACGTTCCCCAAATTTTATTTGTTTCATTTTTTTATGGTACAGAATTCCCTTTAAAATTTATTTGTGACATGTGTGATGAATTTGTTAAAATTCGTTCATTTTACATGTCTGCCTGAAATAAGTCGTCAGACTAACATGAATAGTAGATTTATATCAACTACGAATTGCCCTGTAAATGTGGTGAGCTCTGTAATTTCTAGGTTTTTTATGTTCTTTCCGGCACAAAATTCGACGAATTTTACTTCCTATGGGACGCCCCGGCATCCGCGCGATGCCCTTACGATCCTCGGAATAATTTCCTACAGCAGCGCCAGCGCAGGCAAAGGAAACGTGTAGCCTTTAGTACCAAAGGCCGTGCTATCAAATCTCGTTGAAGTACACGCAGCGGCCTAAGTACACGCAGCGGCCTAAGTACACGTAGCGGCCTAAGTACACGTAGCGGCCTAAGTCCACGTAGCGGTATTAGTACACGTAGCGGCCTAAGTACACGTAGCGGCCTAAGTACACGTAGCAGCCTAAGTACACGTAGCGTCATTAGTACACGTATATAGTGTCAATTAATATAGGTTGGCAGAATTTGTTCTTTTAGGCAGGTTTCATTAAAGACAAGAGAATTTATTTTATTACGATTTTCTTATTCTTTTTTTTCCAACATATCGAACAATATACTTCGTTTGCACAGATAAACAGCTATATAGTGGCCTAAATACACGGAGCTGCCCATTTTTCATCCGCGATTGGTGGGTTTAGCTTGAAAAAACCTTAGTGATTGGCTGGACGGAATTACGAACTCTCAACCTAATTTGATAGTATGGCCTCAGACTTGGGCATTATTTTATTGCGTGACCAGCGCAATAGAAGATTTCTTCAATATAAGATATATTCGCAATATAAGATATCTTCGCAATATAAGATATCTTCGCAATATAAGATATCTTCGCAATATAGTTTTATCTTCAGTTCTTGTTGGTTTAGGCACCGCATCAAGCCAGCTAATTTGTCAGCGCTTTGGCTTTTCCTCATATTTTTTGCATACTCCGAATCGAGGAATTTTTTGCCCTCGAAGAAGATCCCTTCCCTCGCCGGGAGTGTTTGTCGCCCTCGACGGAAATAAACCGAGACTCATCAGCCCCTATATAGCTCCTTCCTTCTTCTCCTGCTCTCCTTATTTATCTTCTTGCTTGCTTCTTTCTTCCTAATCTTTATCTTTCAGCCGGTATTTTTAATGTCTTTATCTTTCAGCTGGTTTTTATTAACCCCATCTTCTTTCTGGTCATTATTTTCACGCTCAATTCTCTTCCTGTTTATTCTCATTTTTACTGTTGTCTTTTTACTTTATTTTACTCATTTTGCTCTTTATTTATTTTTTTGCTCCTTCTCTTTCGTTCAGTTTATTCTTTCCTGCTCCTTCGTCTTCTTTCTGCTCTTCCTGCTGGTACAATTTTTTTATGATTTCAGAAGGTCCAATTTCCTCACATTTGTTATTGTAGTCGGTGGGATTGCCTATTATAAATATAAACCGTTAATCTATATTGGGTAATAATAATTATGTTATACTTTATTTTTATGCTATGATGTCCATCGAGTTTCTGCACATGGAAGCAACAACGGTTTATATCAATGGAAGGCCAGTGTAATTATTTCACGTACCAACTTAACTCTTTTTCAAAACTTCTCTGAAATTTTTTCGCACCGATTGCACAACCGAAAACGGTAACATCAAGTTCGATAATAATTTAAATCAGCAGTTGCGAAGTCGCGACAGGTAAGGATATCCATTCAAATTTCTTCGCATTATGATGAGAAAATTTTATTCACTACGTTAACGGTAACTAATTATAATCTATAACTTTGATGCGGATTTTATTACATTCACAATCACCGGGGATTGTTTGTGTGTTGTTTTGTTGTGCGTTGGTGCCGGAGGTAACATTTTACGAATTTTAACAATAAATATTTTATTAATACTTATAATTGATGACTTTAATTTGTATTCGATTATATTTGTAGTAATTTGAAATTGTTTTGCGTGTTCTTTTGTGGGGCGTTGGTGCCGGAGATGATCTTTTACTAATTTTGACAATAAAAATGTTATGTAGTACTAACAAGTGAAAACTTTAATTTGTATTCGATTACATTTGCATTAATTTGGAATTGTTTGCGTGTTGTTTTGTGGGGCGTTGGTGCGACCGTTGGCCGCTATAGCCGGCATCGACGTTCTCGGGGAGAGTCTCATGGAGGTCAAAGAGAGGGCCGGCTGCGATGGCAGGATATGTCATTCCAGCTTAACAGTAGTCAGCTGTTCAGTATTATAATGTAATATTCTAAGATTAGCAACTTAAAGTCTGGTATATTTCGTTACTTGAGTGCGAGATTAATATAGATAATAATAATCTCGCATAGATTATTATGCGTGTGATGACACTGATCCTGTTTGATGGTGGTATAACAAGATGAACTTCAACTATAGGCAGCAGTCTTGGTTCATTCTTTACTGACTAGGAAGCTTTTGTTTATATTACTACTACATTTGTAACCTCGGTAATACTGCAGTGTTTATACTAATGGATTTTGTGTAAATAGTTTTACTATACTTATATGCTAACTTTAATTGACCTGAAGTTTTCAATGAAAATCTTTAGTTGAAAAGGTCCTGCATGAGATTCATCACAGAGTCACTTGCTGGACAGAAAACCGGATAACAACCTGCCTTCCGCTCTCACTGATCCGGGATCAGGAAGAGAGCGAGGGCTGCAGGGCAAGCAGTAAGGTTGAAAAAGAGGGCGCGAGGTCAAAGAGAGGAACGAGGGAACACCTAGTGTTGCTGGGCTCAGGAAATATTCAGATATTAAAAAACAAATGAGATCTGAGGTCTTCTAGGATATTGCTTTCTGATTTTTCTGCCGTGCCTTGCACTCCTTACCTGTCATTTCCTCGTCCCTTGCTCCCCAAACTGGAGGTTTGTTACCCCTTCAGTGTAATGGAGGTGAAGTCATTTCAGTGTGATTGATTAATGAAGCCAGTGTTGATTATTTATCTATGTTGAGGATACTTATGAATGGAGTAAATGCGTACTCTCGCATATTAAATTGTAACCAATTTTAATACCTTGAAAAGTTTTCGATTTAGTAGAACGCGTGATTCGTGTGCTTCGTGAGTCTAGTCCATCTGATATCGTTTGTTTATACACCGCGCCGTGTTGATTTGTGCACTGAAACATATCAGGAATTATGAATCCGTTCCCTATATATAGCGGCGTAGTTGTGAATCTTGATTTGTATACTAGTGAAAAGTCCCCCCAAATTGTATACTTTATCAAAGTATAAAATTAATGTACAAAGTATGTAATTGATGCTTTCGACTCACATTATTGTGAATAATGAACTTTTATCCTGGCCGCTAACATGTATTCAGGTATTCAGAAATGGCCGAGGGCGGGTTTATCATCATAATTTTTTTTGATTGGCGAACAACTAATCAAATCAATTATGGAATATTGGACGACCTGCTAAATTAACAATAAAAACAGCTAACCGAGAAACTCGTGGTAATTTTATATTTATGATGATGACGTAAAGTAGTGATGATGTGTCACGACGAAGGCGGTGAAGGCATCGCTCTGGGTCGCGTGTCAGTCGCTACCAAGACACTGCGCTGAGGGGTCAGCTGTGCTTGGTCCAAAAACTTCTTGTACTCATGCCAGTTACCCACGTGTTTATTATTTATATACCCACGTGTCTATTATTTATATACTCACGTGTCTATTATGAACAAATGCTCTGCCAGTTACTCACGTGTTTATTATGAACAAATGCTCTGTCAGTTACTCACGTGTCTCTTATGAACAAATGCTCTGCCAGTTACTCACGTGTCTATTATGAACAAATGCTCTGCCAGTTACTCACGTGTCTATTATGAACAAATGCTCTGTCCGTTACGTGTCAAAACCGTAACGAGTCTCATTTAAATTCGTAATTGTTTTTAGTGAAATAAAGTGCTGTATTATTAATAGCTTGAGCAGTTTTGCTCGTTAGTTAGTTTCCGATGCGTGTCGCACCTTTGTTATTGATACATTTAAAACATTTAATGATACATTTGAGTGATACATTTAAAGCTGCAATTAGTTGCATAAATATGAAATTAATGCTTGATACCGACTAATGTATGTGATGTATATGAGCTCTAGCTTGAGATGTATGAACATTTGTGTTGCGGTTATGTTTAACAACGTCTGATGAGAACATCATTTGTGTGTTTGCAAATATTGAAATCATTAATGAAACAAATATGCCT